TCTTTAGGGATTGAGAAATCACGAAAATTATTATGTCTTACGTGAAAATGATATTGCTTGCAGCACCGTACGTGAAACCGTAGCGTACTGATACAGCGTCAACATGAAATAACTCCGGAACATAACCGATATGTCCAAATTTCTTTACACAGTCTTGAACCGTCATATTGACCAATCCACCGGTAACATTACAATTATTGATAAAGAAATCAGTATCGCCTCCCATATCGCACATTATCATTGGCATCGCTGTACACGTCTGAAATGAATAACTACAAGCAAAAGCGACATTTTTGGGTAAAAGTCCATTTTACCATACCAATGATGCCATTTTAAGCCGAAATCTGCCTTCTTATAACAAATCTGACAAGCAGATGTTTTTTACAAATGGCATACAAATAATGTACACATATTTCAGCTATTTTATTCGTACTAGCGGTGAGCAAATCTAATTCAAAAGATAGATGCCGATGTAGCGCATCCTACAAATCACGTATACATCACGAAAGATCAAAACATTTCTTTTCATTCGGCATTCCATGAAAAGATACATTATTTTGAAATGGCTATAAAAGTGTTATCAATTTCTGCAACAGTCGACCATCTACTCGCTCGCTTAACAGGCCGTCCAATCAAACATCTGCTCACTTGCTTACCGATAAAAACTGAGGATTTTCTGACAAAACTTGAAAATTACTGAAAACCACTATGCTTTTGGAAAGCTTGATGTATGTTTTCTAATTAAAACTTAAAAACTTGTTGCATGGTATTCGAATCGGTTCTTCTGTTTGCTTCTTTATGTATTGTTCCTCTTCTCCCTCGCCTCATCCATTTATCATTCGAGGAAAAGTAGGTACAGCAGAAGCATCTATTTCTCGACAAGTTGCAGGTAACACTCATTTATTTGTTTCAGTTTTTTCGACAATTAGTTAATTGCCAAAATAGCATGGGCGCTCTATAGAAAAGTGGTAAAATTTACTTGCCATGCCCATCCGAGTTCGCCATCCAGTGCTTCAGTAGCAGTACTCGGGCAATCGCTCCGGAAGCAGTTGTATTTGAGTGCTCCGGAAAAGTTGTAATAAACATTGATAACCTGGTACAACTGCTCGGCCAATTTCATTTTGTCCGTGGGCGCTGATTTCGCATGTTCACAAGCGTACTAAAATTCATGTTCACTATTTTCAGTGGCTCATAAATGCAGAGGAAATCACTGCTCAAGCTGTATTGAACTGGACAAATACTGGACATATTCAGCTTTTTCTCATCATAGATTTCCCACTGAGATGCAGCTGTAGCGCCGCAGATAGTTTCTTTTTGAGCTGGCCGCGTTGTGATATCATATCACTATATAAAGGGTCTTGTCTTCTGGAAGAGTGGAGAAGCAGTCAGGTGCATCAATGGTGAGAAGAAACGCACCGATGAAAAAACAGTTGCGAATATCTGTTTTCAAATGGCAAAATTTGGTAGTTTCCGCTTCTTGTA